ATATAAATAAAAAATATTAAATAAAATATATATACATATGTATGTGTATATGTGGTATAAAAGTGATGTTATTAATAGCTACATATATGCGTGCCTTTTTTATGTTTAATTTAAGTGTAAATAGATCATTTTTTTCATTACGCTTAAATAGTGAAACAGGTTTACGCGCCGGCCAAAACGAAACTTTTTTACCATGCCGTTTTATTTACACATGGTATGTGTATTTGTGACGCCAACTCTAAGAGTTGAAAATATAATAGATACCTTGTAGTTAGAAATATAACTGAGAGACTGAGAAAGAAAAATTATGAGCCTTAACCAGTGCATAATATATAATGTGATATTTGGAGGGATTTTTACACTTTCCCTTAAGTGCGTTTCGATGATCTTAGAATAACACAGATAGCGTAATAATCTTTAATATTTAAAGGACACATGTTGAATAATATGTGGGGTATTCGTAACATAATCCTATGGATGTAAAAAGACTTTGTCGTTTGTCAGACCTCTGATTATCGAAAATATTTTATCATTGTATAAATTTTAATTCGTAAATAATTTATATGATCCATATAATTATATTTTAAGATAAGTTTTATTTTATTTTTCAGTTATTGCTTGCCAATTGCAAATTGCCAATTTTTAAAAATTTGACATAGAACTTGAGAAAAATAATCGCTATATTAAACGATAATTATATTTCTCCGCATTAACTCGATTTAACTTCTGTGTTATTCTACGATACAACCGCGATTAGATCGCGATTTTCTGTGACTGTTACTGATTATTTAATTTATTAACTTAATTTCTGTCATAGTGGTAAAAATATAGATGGGAGTAACTCGTTAAAAGAAAATATTTTGAGAATCTTTTGGTCATATTGTAATTTAATAACGTAAACCGTATATTTATTAAGAATCATCTCTTGCTTATTTTACATTATGATTATTAATTGTAATTATAAATGATGATTATAGAAATTTATATAGAAATGTGTATGTATGAGATTATAACACACATTATTGATTTCTTGTCTTTTTATATCCGAAAGAAGTAGAATTTTACTTTTAGCGCAATAATTTCTTATTTTGCAGATTCATTTTGTACATTATTTATTTTTGTACACATACAAAGAGAGAAAGAGAGAGAGTTTGTATGTTATATTTATTATTGTAAAACGTAATTTAACCATCTATAATTTACCACGCGAGCACACATATGTATGAATGTATCTATTTGTATACCTGTATGTTTGTACTTATACCTTTTTACAAAAAGAGGAGAAACAATGCGAGATTATCGCATACTTCCTACTCAGATGTAGTGACGCTTAAATCAATAGCGAAGTAAGATGAAGGAGACGTATTACTTTGTACGTCTCTTTAGAATTAATTGAATCTTTTATTTCAGAAAAAAAGATACGGAATAAAAAGATATTTTTTCAGCCATTTATCGACGATTTTTTCTTTCTATACTTCGCAACATTCGAGGCTTATCTTGGTAACATTTTCTACCCTTTGTTCCTTTCTGAGTCCTTTACGATATTATATGCGACATTAGTAGACGGTATCGCATTTTATGAATATGTATAAGAAACAGCTCTCTCTCCCAGTCTATAACACGCAAAATCGAATTGTAGAAACTGTAGAATTCTTAAACGATTCACGAGAAGACTGGGAATACAATGCGAGCGAAGGGTGAGCTTTGCGTCAATTACGATCGATTATATATAATTATGCTGTTCGTGTGCTACTTCAACTTTAAATCGTAAATCTTAGTCTACGGGTAATAATACGAGATTCTCTTTACATATTAAAATGAGAAACTGAAATAATAATATTGTTACACTTAGAGAAAATTTGACTTAAATTTAACATATATCGCATGTCCCAAACGGTGCACACAAATTTTAGTGTTAATTTAATATAATATGGATATGTTAAATGGTGACAGTAATACTATGTTAATATTTCAATACAAAATTAATGCAAACTTTATAGTAATTTGAAATAAATTTTGTAAAATCAACATATTTTTAATGATAAAATTAACTTGGAAAAATATTATTGACGGTCTGCAGTCACTCCCACTCCTATTGTAGAATAAAATCAACATTATTTTCTGTAAATTTTAACAGATAAAGCCACTAATAATACAGAACATATATATTGTAGAAAATTAAAAATATGTGCACATTGTGTTATTTTGACATTTTTTTCAGTTGTTTTAATAATTTAACATTTAAGTTGTAAATATGTTAAATTAACACGTGAATTAAATATTTATTACAAAAATTTTAACCGGCATATTTTTTAATGACAAAACAAATTTTCCAACAGTAGAGATAAAATTAAAATCTTCTAATTTTCATCATAAATCAGCAGTTATTAATATATTGTCACTCTTTTTGAAGAAAACACAAATTTTCCAACAGTGTACATATAGTTTTAACGGCAATACAATAATTAATATGTTTTTATTATTTTGATTAAAAATCTTTACTTGGATATTATATTTAACACACTATTTATCATTGTCTTTTATATTATTTTGATAAAAGATAAGAAATTATGAGGGATACAATTAGACTGTTGTTTTTCATTTTATGATGCGTTAAATATTCGAGTTATATTATTTTATTACGTATCTCTTATATAAAGTATCGACTCCTCCAATAAAAAGTGGCTCGTTTAATATCTTTTTTAGAATTATACAAAAAATTATAAAAAATGTTAGAGCATTGATTTAATTGATATAAAATGTAAGACATTATATTCTCGTCAAAAATCCTTTTTATATCGAAGTAAGGGATAGAATAGGGGATCTACACCTTGGAAAAAGATGCAAATCTTAGTTTAATAAGTTGCACCAAAAAAATCCTTGAAATATTCTTTCTTTAAGGAACTTCCTAGAAGTTTGAATAAAAATACCTGGAAGTTCAGGGAATTTTCAAGAAATCTTTTTACAAGATCTGAGTAGACACCCTGTAAAATGATGTTACTTGGCTGGTGGTATTTTGGGACACTTTGTATATCGCGTTTACGCTCTGAGGAGGGTTGTAATCAGAGCAGCGAGGGTAGTTGCGGGTAGTACAGGCGCAGACGCGAGCTGCCTGGTGAACGAACGGCGGCTTACGAGGGTTCGCTTGGCAATCAATGGCATAGCAGGGTTGCTCAAGACACCGTCTCCAACTACAATTGGTGGGATACGCGTAGAAATCACCGTTTCTTCTCTGCGGATCTTCCGAAGTAAGGATTGTACGGAATAACTGGTGATCTTGGTCGAGCATCTCGGGCGATGACAGATCGTGCCGTTGATTAATTACGTCGTAAGTTCTCGCAATAATCGGGTTAATTGTATATGACGTGCGAAAGTGGGTGAAGCGGCCAGAGTGAGACCGCGATCCCATGTGACGATGTGACATTACCATCGTGACATCAATCTCGGTGACAGATCGTCGAATTGAACGGAAGGTGTCGGTCGGGATCATCGGGTGGACCATGAACCATGGATACGTTGCAGGTCGAAGACGGCGCGACTTCGGAAGAGAGACGTAAGGAAGGTAAGTGCACGGTCTTATCGAGAGAGAACTCGATTTACATATTTTACAAGCTCGATGAAATCCGGGAGTGGATTTCTCGCACGATTTCGCTTTCGGAGCGTTTTACATTCTATTTATATGTATTATTGTTGTCAGTTATCGCGTACAAGATGAGCCGGTTTCTTCGGATGATATCGATAATTTAATTATTTCGTCTTTTACTTTAAATAACCAACTGCAAGTTCATCAAATTCCAAGTTTTGTTAAAATAATTATATCAAAATTTGTATATTTCTCTCGAAACTGATTTTACACATTACTTTCGAAGTGAAAATTTATTATTTTGGTTTGTCATACATATATATATATATATATATATATATATATATATATATATATATATATATATATATATATATATATATATATATATATATATATATATATATATATATATATATATATATATATATATATATATATATATATATATATATATATATATATATATATATATATATATATATATATATATATATATATGTATGACAAACCAAAATAATAAATTTTCACTTCGAAAGTAATGTGTAAAATCAGTTTCGAGAGAAATATACAAATTTTGATATAATTATTTTAACAAAACTTGGAATTTGATGAACTTGCAGTTGGTTATTTAAAGTAAAAGACGAAATAATTAAATTATCGATATCATCCGAAGAAACCGGCTCATCTTGTACGCGATAACTGACAACAATAATACATATAAATAGAATGTAAAACGCTCCGAAAGCGAAATCGTGCGAGAAATCCACTCCCGGATTTCATCGAGCTTGTAAAATATGTAAATCGAGTTCTCTCTCGATAAGACCGTGCACTTACCTTCCTTACGTCTCTCTTCCGAAGTCGCGCCGTCTTCGACCTGCAACGTATCCATGGTTCATGGTCCACCCGATGATCCCGACCGACACCTTCCGTTCAATTCGACGATCTGTCACCGAGATTGATGTCACGATGGTAATGTCACATCGTCACATGGGATCGCGGTCTCACTCTGGCCGCTTCACCCACTTTCGCACGTCATATACAATTAACCCGATTATTGCGAGAACTTACGACGTAATTAATCAACGGCACGATCTGTCATCGCCGGAGATGCTCGACCAAGATCACCAGTTATTCCGTACAATCCTTACTTCGGAAGATCCGCAGAGAAGAAACGGTGATTTCTACGCGTATCCCACCAATTGTAGTTGGAGACGGTGTCTTGAGCAACCCTGCTATGCCATTGATTGCCAAGCGAACCCTCGTAAGCCGCCGTTCGTTCACCAGGCAGCTCGCGTCTGCGCCTGTACTACCCGCAACTACCCTCGCTGCTCTGATTACAACCCTCCTCAGAGCGTAAACGCGATATACAAAGTGTCCCAAAATACCACCAGCCAAGTAACATCATTTTACAGGGTGTCTACTCAGATCTTGTAAAAAGATTTCTTGAAAATTCCCTGAACTTCCAGGTATTTTTATTCAAACTTCTAGGAAGTTCCTTAAAGAAAGAATATTTCAAGGATTTTTTTGGTGCAACTTATTAAACTAAGATTTGCATCTTTTTCCAAGGTGTAGATCCCCTATTCTATCCCTTACTTCGATATAAAAAGGATTTTTGACGAGAATATAATGTCTTACATTTTATATCAATTAAATCAATGCTCTAACATTTTTTATAATTTTTTGTATAATTCTAAAAAAGATATTAAACGAGCCACTTTTTATTGGAGGAGTCGATACTTTATATAAGAGATACGTAATAAAATAATATAACTCGAATATTTAACGCATCATAAAATGAAAAACAACAGTCTAATTGTATCCCTCATAATTTCTTATCTTTTATCAAAATAATATAAAAGACAATGATAAATAGTGTGTTAAATATAATATCCAAGTAAAGATTTTTAATCAAAATAATAAAAACATATTAATTATTGTATTGCCGTTAAAACTATATGTACACTGTTGGAAAATTTGTGTTTTCTTCAAAAAGAGTGACAATATATTAATAACTGCTGATTTATGATGAAAATTAGAAGATTTTAATTTTATCTCTACTGTTGGAAAATTTGTTTTGTCATTAAAAAATATGCCGGTTAAAATTTTTGTAATAAATATTTAATTCACGTGTTAATTTAACATATTTACAACTTAAATGTTAAATTATTAAAACAACTGAAAAAAATGTCAAAATAACACAATGTGCACATATTTTTAATTTTCTACAATATATATGTTCTGTATTATTAGTGGCTTTATCTGTTAAAATTTACAGAAAATAATGTTGATTTTATTCTACAATAGGAGTGGGAGTGACTGCAGACCGTCAATAATATTTTTCCAAGTTAATTTTATCATTAAAAATATGTTGATTTTACAAAATTTATTTCAAATTACTATAAAGTTTGCATTAATTTTGTATTGAAATATTAACATAGTATTACTGTCACCATTTAACATATCCATATTATATTAAATTAACACTAAAATTTGTGTGCACCGTTTGGGACATGCGATATATGTTAAATTTAAGTCAAATTTTCTCTAAGTGTAACAATATTATTATTTCAGTTTCTCATTTTAATATGTAAAGAGAATCTCGTATTATTACCCGTAGACTAAGATTTACGATTTAAAGTTGAAGTAGCACACGAACAGCATAATTATATATAATCGATCGTAATTGACGCAAAGCTCACCCTTCGCTCGCATTGTATTCCCAGTCTTCTCGTGAATCGTTTAAGAATTCTACAGTTTCTACAATTCGATTTTGCGTGTTATAGACTGGGAGAGAGAGCTGTTTCTTATACATATTCATAAAATGCGATACCGTCTACTAATGTCGCATATAATATCGTAAAGGACTCAGAAAGGAACAAAGGGTAGAAAATGTTACCAAGATAAGCCTCGAATGTTGCGAAGTATAGAAAGAAAAAATCGTCGATAAATGGCTGAAAAAATATCTTTTTATTCCGTATCTTTTTTTCTGAAATAAAAGATTCAATTAATTCTAAAGAGACGTACAAAGTAATACGTCTCCTTCATCTTACTTCGCTATTGATTTAAGCGTCACTACATCTGAGTAGGAAGTATGCGATAATCTCGCATTGTTTCTCCTCTTTTTGTAAAAAGGTATAAGTACAAACATACAGGTATACAAATAGATACATTCATACATATGTGTGCTCGCGTGGTAAATTATAGATGGTTAAATTACGTTTTACAATAATAAATATAACATACAAACTCTCTCTCTTTCTCTCTTTGTATGTGTACAAAAATAAATAATGTACAAAATGAATCTGCAAAATAAGAAATTATTGCGCTAAAAGTAAAATTCTACTTCTTTCGGATATAAAAAGACAAGAAATCAATAATGTGTGTTATAATCTCATACATACACATTTCTATATAAATTTCTATAATCATCATTTATAATTACAATTAATAATCATAATGTAAAATAAGCAAGAGATGATTCTTAATAAATATACGGTTTACGTTATTAAATTACAATATGACCAAAAGATTCTCAAAATATTTTCTTTTAACGAGTTACTCCCATCTATATTTTTACCACTATGACAGAAATTAAGTTAATAAATTAAATAATCAGTAACAGTCACAGAAAATCGCGATCTAATCGCGGTTGTATCGTAGAATAACACAGAAGTTAAATCGAGTTAATGCGGAGAAATATAATTATCGTTTAATATAGCGATTATTTTTCTCAAGTTCTATGTCAAATTTTTAAAAATTGGCAATTTGCAATTGGCAAGCAATAACTGAAAAATAAAATAAAACTTATCTTAAAATATAATTATATGGATCATATAAATTATTTACGAATTAAAATTTATACAATGATAAAATATTTTCGATAATCAGAGGTCTGACAAACGACAAAGTCTTTTTACATCCATAGGATTATGTTACGAATACCCCACATATTATTCAACATGTGTCCTTTAAATATTAAAGATTATTACGCTATCTGTGTTATTCTAAGATCATCGAAACGCACTTAAGGGAAAGTGTAAAAATCCCTCCAAATATCACATTATATATTATGCACTGGTTAAGGCTCATAATTTTTCTTTCTCAGTCTCTCAGTTATATTTCTAACTACAAGGTATCTATTATATTTTCAACTCTTAGAGTTGGCGTCACAAATACACATACCATGTGTAAATAAAACGGCATGGTAAAAAAGTTTCGTTTTGGCCGGCGCGTAAACCTGTTTCACTATTTAAGCGTAATGAAAAAAATGATCTATTTACACTTAAATTAAACATAAAAAAGGCACGCATATATGTAGCTATTAATAACATCACTTTTATACCACATATACACATACATATGTATATATATTTTATTTAATATTTTTACTATGTCTATGGTCTAGATATACTATGTCTATGTATGAAACTTACCGGACATAAACTACGAGGATTTATGCAGACGGGAAACTCGATCAAATCTTTTTTTAACGCCTGTGGAGTAAACAAGAAGCGACAGCCAATCGCGGACAGCGGTCGATTATGATTTGCTGTTGCCAACTATATCAAGTAAATTATAGCGTTTTCGAATATAGCAGGTTTAATCGCTCTCAAAGCGATTAATGACATCATTGCATTATCTCTGCCAATAAAAAGCTTGAATTCATAGTAAAATATAGTGATTAATTAAACCGGGTTGGGTTAAAACTTTCCCAAAGTTAGCCCCCCCACTTTGAAATTTTTTTTTTATCAATCGATTGGTGGTTGATTGGTAATGTTTGGTATCACATTAAAAAAGTTTGGTAGTTTCCCGTTTTTTGACAAAATCGTAAACAAATTTTTGACCTTTTTTTAGCCCCCCCACTTTGACTTTTAGAAATTTTTTTTTTACCAATCGTTTAATGGTTGATTGCTAATGTTTGGTATCGCATTAGCTAATAATTTTACATATACAGCCAGATTTTGCAATTCGGCTCTTAAAAATTTATAAGGCCCATTCTACAATAAGCCGTATGTCGTTAGTCGTAAGCAAATTGATCAATCACAATCAAATATTCTCGGAATAATCGACTGTCATTGGTCAATTTGCTAACGACTAAAGCCCGTATCAGACTATGCATTGAGATTGATGTTTGACCAATCAGGACAAGGAAATTTTAGTTCCTTCTAGTCTGATTGGTCAAATTTCAATCTTTAATACGTAGTCTGATCTGGGCTTAACGACATACTACTTATTGTAGAACGAGCCTTATGGTGCATCGCCAATGCTCAAATGTCATAAAGCCCGTATCAGACTACGCATTAAAAATTGAAAATTAAAGATTAAAGATTGGAATTTGACTAATGAGAACAAAAAGGACTAAAATTTCTTTATTCTGAGTGGTCAAATTTCAATCTTGAATCTTGAATCTCAATCTTTAATGCATAGTCTGTAGTTTGATACGGGCTTAAGGCCAATATTACATTTGTCGTGCGACAAACTTTTTAAGCATATTGGTTGGCTGAAAAATAGAAAGTTTCTTGAGTCTCTAGAAATTAGCTAATCAATGCGCTTAAAAAGTTTGTCGTACGACAAATGTAATATCGGCTTAAGGCCTGTTCTACAATGTATGTATGTATGTATGTATGTATGTATGCATGTATGTATGTATGTATGTATGTATGTATGTATGTATGTATGTATGTATGCATGTATGTATGTATGTATGTACGTATGTATGTATGTATGTATGTATGTTAATACCATGTTTAGATTTAATTTTTATGATATACTGATAAATATTAATGGCCGCGTTTAACAGAGAAAACGCTCACTTAAGATTGTATTAAGGCCGTATTACATTACGGATTGTGGGCGATTGGGATTACGGTTGTAAGTCACAAATTGACCAATGACAGTCAATTATTCCGAGAATATTCGATTGTGATTGGTCAATTTGCTTACGACTAACGACATACGGCTTATTGTAGAACGGGTTTTAGGGCCACCGCACAAGCTTTTCTGTAATGCATTACGTTACGTTAAGTACTGATTCTAAACCTAAACTCGTACGTAATCTTAAACTTCAGTCAACGCACATGGTCAATTTCTTAACGTTTAGGGCTTAAATTACCTATTGTAGACCGGCACTAATGCATTACGGAAAAGCTTGTGCGGTGGCCCTAAGAAATACATCAAAACAAGTTTCATAAAAAATATTAATTTTTCGAGATGTAGAACGAAGACTACGAATTTCACCACATCTGTATCTAAAGTGCAGCTAACAGCAGAACATGGGGAATATTTCGTGGTGGCACACTGGCCGCGTGACAAGGAAAGATGATTGCGTCATCTTTGTCTCTCTTGCACCGCATGTGTAGTAACGTCCGTGAAGGCACAAATATGCACAAATACCGATATGTTGAGCACACACATATGCGATTGTGGGTAATAATGTCAAACAAGGAGCGACAATCGCGTGCTATCCTTGTTCCTCTAGCGTATCACTTTACGGCTGAAATATGGCCTGAGGGCCACCGCACAAGCTTTTCCGTAATGCATTACGTTACGTTAAGTACTGATTCTAAACCTAAACTCGTACGTAATCTTAAGCGGGGAGCACACACTTTTGCATAAGCGCATAAATAAGCATAAGGAATTTGATTGGTCAATTTCCTTATGCATAAGGAAATGGACCAATCAATTTTCTTATGGTTATTATTATGCGCTAATGCAAAAGTGTGTGCTCCCCGTTTAAAGCTTATCACACACAAATTGACATAACTGCATATGCATAGCATTTGCGCTTATGCAAAAGAGTGTGCTCCCCGTTATAACCTATAAAGTAACCTGCACTATACGACTTGGTACTTAATACACATATTTTATTCGATGATACTTTTTTCAGGTACGTGATAAAGCGAGATGTGTGCAAAATACTTCATCTTTTTCGCTATCACCCTTGTTTGCTGCATACTTGCTAGAATATATTACCTGATATTTGTCAAACGCGATAAGCCCGTAGAAAGGTCCCGTCTGGCCGATCTGGCTAAAACGATGATATTAGGATCCGGTAGACACACAGCCGAGATGCTGCGGATCGTTAGGTATTTGAATTTCGAGAATTATTCGCCCAGAGTGTACATTTGTGCTCTGACGGATAAGCTCAGTGTGGAGAAGGTCAGGGACCTGGAAGATGGCAATGAGGATTACAAAATTATAGAGATTTACAGAAGTCGGGAAGTTCGACAATCGTACTTCACTTCTATTTGGACCACTGTGTTCGCCATCCTCAACTGTCTTTCAATCTTATGGAGGAAAAATCCGGAACTTATTTTATGCAACAGTTCTGGCACTTGTGTTCCTTTGTGCGTCATAGCATTTTTATTTAAAGCGCTATGTATCACGCAAAGCGTTATTGTATTTGTAGAAAGCTTCTGCTGAGTCAAAAGCTTTTCGTTAACAAGAAAGATCTTGTATTATTTAGCTAATCACGTCATTGTACAATGGGTGTACTTAAGTAAACCTATGTATAGCAGAAGCATCCTCTTATATGCAAAGCTTTCTTTTTTTTGTTTAAATTATAATCATTTATAATTATTACACATCTCAGATGTGTATGTATATATGTGTGATTTATAGGAAATGACTCATAGCGCTCCTATGATAACAATACCCTGGGAATTGCTAGCAAAAGAATTGGAACATATACCCATGGAAATAAAACTACATTTGACACCCATAATAAATGTGCTATATACATCTAACAAACAATTGTAAATAAAATCTAATTAACAATATTATCTCTACATATACAAAATATTAAATATATTTATTTTAATATAAGTTTTCTTTTTACAAGAGCTTCAGAAGCATGGATAAATAATTCAATAACAAGAGTAGAAGCTTGTTTAGACCGCACATGGGAACTATTGAACTCAGGCTACTGGAAAGATGTTCCAATAGGATATAGATATTGTTATTCTCTGTGTGTCGCTCTAAAGGTATAAAAAATATATTATTAATTTTTAACCAATTATATATTTTTTCTTAAAAAACTTATACTTATTTATAAAAATTTCTTTTGGGGTGATTGATATATTTAGGCAGTATTATTAGAAATTCAATATGAAATCAATGTTGAAAGCTTCAATGATAAAGAGGAGAAGAAAAAGACTGTATTAAAGAAAATTATTAACCAAATTGATAAAGGCATTCTACTAGGTGCACCACTTCCTAGTGTACCAAATTTATTGACAACTATTGCTACAAAACTAAACAGCTATTGCACTGGTAAAAATATCTTCATAAGAAAATTTATACTCTAATATAATAATAAATCACACATACATTAATCCGTTGCAATTTTTAAAAGGATTTATTTTCTGAAATTTTAATAGAGGGCTCTAGCATTATAAATCTGGAAGAAATTTCAATCACTCACAAGGAGAGTGATTTAATCTCTAATTATCCGGATAGATATTTTGAGAGACCTTCGATGCAGACATTTTACAATAAAATTTTTGTGCCCAAACTTCCGGCCATATTAACAGGTTTGATTCATAATTAATATAAATTATAAATTTAGCTAAGATCCACAAAATAACTAATACTTCGTTTTATATTGTAATTTGTGTCGTGAGACAAAAGTTTGGAGTATATTTATTATGAAAGTAGTATAAGATATCTAGCAGTTTATGATATCAAAAAGTTATCAAAAGAAGATATTAAGAATATTAATCTTATATATTTTATTATAGATTGTATGAATCACTGGAAAGCACTAACATTATGGAAAAATCCTAATTACTTAAATAAGATCGCAGGGTCTCGGACAGTACCGATCGAAATTGGATATAGTTATACTGAGGAAGATTGGACTCAACATCTTGTCAATTTCTCTGAATTTTTACAAAAGCACGTTATTGCGAATAATAGTGAAGTCGGCTATTTAGCGCAGCATCAATTATTTGAACAGGTATAATATTATAATTTACGATGCATTCTATACATAATCCTGCTTTATAAAATTACAATCTGGAAATCGATCTTAGATACCAGAATTAAAGGAGGATTTTGAAGTGCCGGAATATTGCTGTTTCTCGGATAATGAGGATAAAGATATGGAATCATCAGACGTTGACATAAATGCCTGGTTTGGACCTGTTGGTACAGTGTCTCCTTTGCACTTTGATCCGAAAAATAATCTGCTCTCACAGGTAAAAAAATACTTGCGATTAAAATTACTCGAGTTACATTATATTATATATTCTAAGAGAGCTTCTTCCATCTCAGCGTTTTCGAATGTAGCAGGTTTAATCGCTCTCAGAGCGATTAATAACGTCATTGCATTGTCTCTGCCAATAAAAGGCTTGAATTCATAGTAAAATATAGTGATTAATTAAACTGGGTTGGGTTAACCCGTTCATTCGAAAACGCTATCAGTTCTGTGTATAAAATATATTTCATATATATATATATATATATAATAATTTTTTCTCAGATATTTGGTTATAAAAGAGTTATCTTATATTCTCCGATTGAGACAGATAATCTGTATCCCTATGATACCAAATTACTTAACAATACTGCGCAAGTAGATCCGGTGAGGCCAGATTATGATAAGTGGCCAAATTTTCGTAAAGCTGATGGCATGACGTTCCATTTGAAACCTGGAGAAATGCTATATATTCCACCAAAATGGTGGCATCACGTGACCGCTCTTACTCCTAGTTTTTCGATCAGTTTCTGGTGGAATTAATTTTTAAATAAAATTAAAATAAAACTTTTTTTATCAAAAAATTTATTCGTTACAGCACCTAGTATAAAAATTCCAGCGATCGCAGCCGATCATAATCAATCACCATTTACTTTGTACGATTTTTTAGACCGATTCTTGCAAAATCGATTATTTGATTCCGATTTCTTAAGAGAATCGATTTTCATGATTCGATTCAGAATCGATTCTTTTAAGAGAATCGGACATCCCTACTATGACTACGTTTACACGTCACCCTTAATCGGGTTTAATAACATTCGTAGTTCGAAGGCTGGCCAATCACAGTCATTCCATTCTTCAGAGGAATAGCTGTGATTGGCCAGTTTCACAACTACGGATGTTACTAAACCCGATTAAGGGCCAATTTCACCAAGTCCGGTTAGATTAACCGACGGTTGTAATTAGCAGGGTGGCCAACAGAAAATAGAGGTGAAGGAAAACCAAGTATTCATATCATTTCAGTTGGAACCCTGCTAATTTTAATCGTCGGTTCATCTAACCGAGCTTGGTGAAATTGGCCCTAAGGGTGCCGTGTAACAGAGCTCTATGATTATTTTCTTTAAACTCGTCGCATAATTAACGTTTGCGTAAATATAACCAGCGAAACGTATCGCGACACGATACAATCATCTCAAATTGATCGACACAATCGATCGATTGGTCGAGATCGGCGTCGATCTATATACTTAACGCACGGAGCGCAAAATTGTATCATTTTTATATAATATTATATATATTGGCTCTTAAATTATCTTTATAATATTGTACGTAATAATTAATTAGATTTAATGCATTGCTAATTTTTTGAATTAAAATAATTAAGAGTTTATATTAATGGAGAGCAAACCTGTCTTCAAATTTATCTCTGTAATTGAATTAAGAGTTACTAGCTTTCTAGATATTAATCTCTCTCTCTCTCTTTCTCTCTCTCTCCCTGCCTGCCTGCCTCCCTGCCTCCCTCCCTCCCTCCCTCTCTCTCTCTCTCTCATGAAATTTTTAAAGAGTTTATGATCAATAGATATTTTCTAAATAAATCTCATTCAGTATTCGATATTAGATCAATATTGATATAGATCTGAAGATTCAAAAAAAAAAATGTTCAAGAATGAAGTTGGTAGTAAAAAAAGCTACACACCACATCTAAAGCCCGAATCACACTAGCGGCTCGCGGCTGCGATTGCGTTTGTGATTGTGATTTGCTACGCTCTAATCATACTTGCAATTGGTGATTTCTGATTGGCTGAAGCAATGGCAACCGCAAGCCGCTAGTGTGATTCGGGTTTAAGATCTAAGATCCCTTTAATGAAAAAAATCATGAAACGCCCGAAGTGCGTGTTTGGAGTCGAAATATATCGGGCGTATTGTTGCCGCTTTTCCGCGTGTTTGATTGGCGGTCGATGATGCGTCGATGAGAGGTGTGAACGTTTTATCGAGTTTAGTTCGGTGTTTGACAGTTTGGTGTGACAGTTCGGTGACAGTTTGGTGACACTATGTACATCGTGAGCGGAGTTAGTAAATATTCGTAGTAGAAATATACTTAAAGTATATTTAAAAATGCGTGTCTGATTGATGGTCGATGATGTAAATCGAATGTGGTCGAACGAATGTTATCGAGTTAATTCGACAGTTTGGTGACAGTTCGGTGACATTTCGTGAGTGATTAGTATTAAATGTTATAGTATATTGATATTTATTTGTGAATATATTAAATTAAGTTAATATAGAGAGAAAGAGAAAGAAGAAAAGACAAATGAGAGAGAGAGAGAGAGAGAGAGAGAGAGGGGG